ATTTATTCATATTTGTATTTGTATATATATTGTATATATAATGTAATTGTATGTATTTATACATGTTGATATTATATATAAATACAAGCATGTATATATACATAAAGAATGCCATACCTAAAAAGGTATAGATCTGCCCATTAAAAAATATTTTTTTTCTTGATGAAATGGGGAATTTTGTGCATAGGAATGGTGAGGCAACCTTAACCCATTCACCCCACGTGGCAAGAATAGATGCCATACCCACTTTGATACACATTTATTTATTGTATTTACACATAGATGGCTCCACAAGTTCTTAATCACCAAATAGCCAGTTATCAAGAACTACCTATTTCACCTGTTTACCCTTTTCCTTCACTTTAGGAAAGGTTTTTTTTTGTATCATTTCATTGTCTAAAATATTCTAATGACAATTTAATAACCATAACATCAATAACAATAATAACAGTATCGATAGTAATGGTATTAATTTTCCCACCAATTCAATGAAGGGGAAAATCAGGGTCAGCAACTAGGGCCTACTGATGGACTCCTTGCCGGCTGAGCACATGTGGAGCCATCTGTAGGTAACAAAATTCACCAAAAACTACAGGGGACAGAACATAAATCCTGGGCGAATGGGTTAATATGGGGCGCATGCAGGGGAGCTAATTTTTCCTCAGTGTTCACAGGCATGTAGAGAATTGATTATTTTACATAAGCAGATGTAAATTATAATGTAATTAAATCTTATTGCTCATCTAAGAAACTATGGAGATAAGGCTGGATGGACTTCTTTGGCTGTTGGTTATCAGGTTTTGTTTTTCTCTTTATTTGGGTGATTTGTGCTCTCTCTGTAGTTAGCAATTTCAGGCACAATTTTAGCACAACCCTGTAATTTTTTTGGACAAATCATAATAGAATGTTAATTCAACTAAGGGATTTTTAAAACAACACCAATGACTTTGCCGAAAAGAATTAATATCATGGGTGTAGTGATTCCTAGTATTATTGTTTTGGTATTTTGTATTACTTTGACGAAATATGATGAATAGGAGCTGAGCATGTAGCACGTTCTAGCACAAGCCTGGTAGATTTTATTGCTGTTTACTAACTGCTTTGATACCGATATAAGTCCCAGCGAGCATTTTGTTTTCATATATACTCAATGTACTCTATTGAAGTTTTCGGCTTTGAGATGTGATTTATGTTATATATATATATCTTGATATCTGTGTCCCAATAACTTCTCTTTCATCTCTCTGTCTATTGCTTTGTATATTTATATATATTTATGTAGCTCTTTGCTTCTAACTCTTTATCTCTGTTTTTTTTTTTTTCTCTCTCTCTCTCTCTCTATCCATCTATCCATCTATCCATACATGTACATATATAAATTTTTAGATATAATTTGACAAGGTTTTGGAATGTATTATAGATTACATTGTGAAATAGCAATTAGGAAAGAGCTTTTTTTTTTTTTTTTGGGTTTGAAGATATATAAATTAGTTTTGAGAAACAACTACTGCTTGTAGAGAACTTAAGTGAACGCATATTCTGCCTCTGAAGTGTTCCATGTTCACCATTGACATTGCATTATTGTGCTTGCTTTTTTTAAGTATCGATGGGGTTTCTTTTTCATTTTGTTTCATGTGTCTTGACTGCCTTTTATGATTTCTTTGATATTTAAAATACCAAGCATTATTTCCCATACTCAAGTAGATACTGATACATCTTGCCAATACTTAGAGGAAATCAGTTTTTAGTTTGTTTTCAGAATTGTTAGTTGTCTTACACATACCTGACTTTTGGTGATATATTTTTTTCCTCTCCTTTTTTTAGAGCAGAGGAAAAGAGCAAAGTGGCAGGCGTTTCTCCAGTAGTAGCTAACCCAGAGATCCTACCTGTTGTGTTTAATGGCAGTTACTAGGAGTTCTGTGTTCATTGTGAGCTGATGCAGGTAGCTTTACAGTTAGCTCCCTACACACACACACGCACCTGTTGCGTTCCCTTGCACTGGTTTCCTGAGTAGGTATTCTTTTTATCTTTTTATTCCTTATTATTGTTGTTGATTTTTTTTCTTATAATAAGATGAGATGAGATGATGTTGTTTGTATGATTTAGTATTTTATATGTTTATAGTTTTTACATAAGCAGATGTAAATTATAATGTAATTAAATCTTATTGCTCATCTAAGAAACTATGGAGATAAGGCTGGATGGACTTCTTTGGCTGTTGGTTATCAGGTTTTGTTTTTCTCTTTATTTGGGTGATTTGTGCTCTCTCTGTAGTTAGCAATTTCAGGCACAATTTTAGCACAACCCTGTAATTTTTTTGGACAAATCATAATAGAATGTTAATTCAACTAAGGGATTTTTAAAACAACACCAATGACTTTGCCGAAAAGAATTAATATCATGGGTGTAGTGATTCCTTAGTATTATTGTTTTGGTATTTTGTATTACTTTGACGAAATATGATGAATAGGAGCTGAGCATGTAGCACGTTCTAGCACAAGCCTGGTAGATTTTATTGCTGTTTACTAACTGCTTTGATACCGATATAAGTCCCAGCGAGCATTTTGTTTTCATATATACTCAATGTACTCTATTGAAGTTTTCGGCTTTGAGATGTGATTTATGTTATATATATATATCTTGATATCTGTGTCCCAATAACTTCTCTTTCATCTCTGTGTCTATTGCTTTGTATATTTATATATATTTATGTAGCTCTTTGCTTCTAACTCTTTATCTCTGTTTTTTTTTTCTCTCTCTCTCTCTCTCTCTCTATCCATCTATCCATCTATCCATACATGTACATATATAAATTTTTAGATATAATTTGACAAGGTTTTGGAATGTATTATAGATTACATTGTGAAATAGCAATTAGGAAAGAGCTTTTTTTTTTTTTTTTTTGGTTTGAAGATATATAAATTAGTTTTGAGAAACAACTACTGCTTGTAGAGAACTTAAGTGAGCGCATATTCTGCCTCTGAAGTGTTCCATGTTCACCATTGACATTGCATTGTTGTGCTTGCTTTTTTTAAGTATCGATGGGGTTTCTTTTTCATTTTGTTTCATGTGTCTTGACTGCCTTTTATGATTTCTTTGATATTTAAAATACCAAGCATTATTTCCCATACTCAAGTAGATACTGATACATCTTGCCAATACTTAGAGGAAATCAGTTTTTAGTTTGTTTTCAGAATTGTTAGTTGTCTTACACATACCTGACTTTTGGTGATATATTTTTTTCCTCTCCTTTTTTTAGAGCAGAGGAAAAGAGCAAAGTGGCAGGCGTTTCTCCAGTAGTAGCTAACCCAGAGATCCTACCTGTTGTGTTTAATGGCAGTTACTAGGAGTTCTGTGTTCATTGTGAGCTGATGCAGGTAGCTTTACAGTTAGCTCCCTACACACACACACGCACCTGTTGCCGTTCCCTTGCCACTGGGTTTCCTGAGTAGGTATTCTTTTTATCTTTTTTATTCCTTATTTATTTGTTGTTGATTTTTTTCTTATAATAAGATGAGATGAGATGATATTGTTTGTATGATTTAGTATTTTTATATGTTTATAGGTTTTTATTATAGTTTTGTTTGAGTTGTTGATCCAAAGGTTATGTCATTTATTTTATCTCCCAGATTTAAAGAAGCATTTTTATGATAGGTCTATATGCATATTCCAAAGGCAAATACTGTTAAATATTTTATTTTGTTGTATTTAAATTATTATTTTATCATTGCCTCTCTTTACCTTTAGACATTAGCTCTTTGTCCCTGTGTATTATTATTTTTTGCCTTTTTTTCATGAATATATGTTACAGAGAACAGGCTTGCATTTATAATTTTGATGAGTAGGAGAGCACAATTATGTTAAGTTATAAAAGAAACAATAGCATTCATTTTGTACAAGTGAAGTAAAATTTGAATGATTGTCTTCCTGTAGTAAAATGGTTTCCCACGAGCTTGGATGTAAAACCAGATCCTGAAAATTAAAAAGTAGATGATCAAAAAGGGAAGCATGGGAGATAGATGCCAAATATGGAGTGGTTTATCGGCATTGGGTAATGGACTTATGATTAATGCCTTTGAAAGTTGCATTGAATTGAGGGTGGCTATTGTAGGGAAGGGGTTGTGGGTAAATGATCTGAGTTTGATGTTGCTTTGCCTATAAATTTTATCTTGTTAATGACTTTTTTTGAGAGTCTTTTTACCCCAGCTGTAATAAAATGAAAAAAAAAATTGTTTGTGAAAACCAACAATTTTTAGACTTTTATGTTATATATAGGCACATAATTAAAGTTTATATACTGTTTATTACATATTTATTACTTAAATGAATTCTTGTTCAGTATAAATTTATTTTCATTTTCAAAATTTCTTCCTAATACTGTTCACATATAACCAAAATCCCAACTGTACAAACTTTTTCTTGAATTCTAGTTTTGTTACAGAGAATGCCAAGTCAGTCTTATGAATGATTGTTAACATAAGCTTGTAAATCTCTCTATTATTTTTGTCGTTATTTGATGAAATGTTCTCAGTGTCTTTCTGTAATATTTATGGCAGTGAGGTTCTTCTTCTTTGTCTAAGCTTGCTAGAAAAATGTATTTTATGTACGCGATCACACAAACATTCCTTTAAATGTTCACGAAGGCTTGTGTAGCTTTCAGGTGTTTTGAAGGCAGAGAGGTTGACAAATGTTGTATGAGTACGAGTGTGTATTTGTTGTAGTTGTATCTGTTTGTGTTGTTACTTGTATTACTCAGTTTTTCTTACACTAATACATTCACGATCACATCCACAGTTACGTTCATGCACGGCAATCCATTGCGATATAGGTATTTTTGTCTTGCTTGATGCAGGTATGAGCAAGATAGTTTTTTTTTTTTTTTCCCTCTTTCTCTTTTTTTCTTTATAACTTGTTTGTTTTTTGCTTATTTGAAATATTTATCAAGATGTTTTGTTTGGTCAGTAAAAGATGACCAATTTTTTTTTTTCAATGATTTGTGGATGAGTTATGAGTGAAGCATTTTTTTATTGTGCATTTCGAAAGATGAATAGAAAATTTGTGGAGCAGCAATAGTCTACTTGAATTTATAAACTTGAAATGAATATCAGTACAATTTGAAAAGAACCTGAATAGCATATTACTAGGGTTAATGTTGCATTTATCTGTACAAATATTTATTCTTATTTTTGGGGGGTATTCTTGAGAATGATAGAAATATAAGTAGGATACATTGTTTTATAAATACAAGTTGGAGCAGTTGGAGCTGTTGTAGGAAGCCTTATAAATAAAACAATTAAAAATTATTGGTGAATAATAATAAATTGATCATTTTACAATCAGAATGTTTGAGGTTTGAAGAATGTAAGTTTCAGATAAAAGACTTGAGTTCCTGAAATAAGTATTGCAGCTCTTTGAAGAACAGAAGTGGATTGTGTGTCTTATGTCGTAAACTTGAATGCTGTCAAAAGTGTTCTGCATTCCATGTGCTTATCATTTGCCTTGCAAGAAGATTGGCTAGTGTATAAACTTCTCAATTTTAAAGTCTACTTTGTTTATTATTATTGTTGTTATTATTATTTTTATTTTTTATTTATTATTATTAAACTATTATTGTTATTATTATATATTATTATTACTATAATTGTTATTATTATTACAGCTATTATTATTATTTCATTATTACTATTGTAATATCCTAGGAGAGAAAATGTATATATTTGTGACTTGCTGAAGGACTTCCAGAGAGAGAAGGAGCAAAGTTTTTTTTCTTGCGACTGAATGACCAAAAGTTATTTGTTATTTAGTGAAAAAAAATTATTGGCTGCTATACTTGTTTCATAGTATATAGTTGGGAATGAGTTAAGGTGTATTCAAGCTGGGGGGGGGGGGGGGGGGAAATGGTTGATTTACATATCTACCAGTTTTGGTTACCTGTTGATATTAATTCTTGTAAACTCTTTTCTCACACAATGCTATGAAAAGTGGACTGTGTATAAAGCCCGAATCAAAGAGCATTGTAGTGACTGCAAGCATCTTTCACCTGATCATTTCACTGTATCTAAGCTTATATTACATATTTATTATATAGTAATAGATTGTACAGTATTTCCCTCTTCAAATTCATGTTTATACATTACAGGATATGTTGAAAATACAAGAATAAAGATATTGAGTTGTTTACTTTTTTCCAAGATGCATTTGGAATTTCTGTTGTTTTATGGTTTGATTTTGTGTAAATGATTATTTTATTTAATTAGTGGATCTGATTGGAGTAATCCAGAATATTATTAAAGTTCATAAATTGAATCTGAAAGTGTGTATGGTAAAATTTATTATGTACTACATAGCTGTACTAAATTTTAATTTTATCATTTATTATGTAGACCAAAGAAGTGTTGATTGCCTTAAAAATAAACTTTATAGAGCATAAATGTTTTATTTGTCTGGAAACTAACCCAATAAAGATGACAAAAGTGAAGGATATATGTGTGTGAGTGAGAGAGTGAGAAAGTGAGAGAGTGAGTGAGTGAGTAGTTTATTTTTTCTTTCCTTCTTTTTTTTGTTCCCAAGTACAAGGCTATTTCTTTTTCCAGAACCTGAAGCCTATAGATATCACCCTATTGCTGATTGAATATGTTAATAGAATTAGAAATTGGCACATTTTGTTGACACCAGGAACATGTCATGTCCACAGTAGTTTTGTTTTATTATTACATTTCATCAGTGCTTAGTTACCAAGTAGCCAATTACTAGTCCTATATGATCTGACTTATAAATTCCATTCCTTGAATATTTCTGTTCCTATCATTATTATTAGTGTTGTTATAACAATGAAATTATTATAAGTAATAAAAAATAACTTTTCCTAAAAATTCATGCAATGGGGTTGATAGAAAAGGTAATGTAGCCATAGGCTCCTTGGTGGCTAAACACTTGTTCAGCCATGTGTGTGTGGAAAGAAAAAAACAGTGGACAGCAAAATCTTTGCACAAACTCCTGACTTTAAGAAGTCCAAACAAATGTTAGCTGAAGACCAGAAACTCATTTCTGAAAAAGCTTAGCAAAATTCAGGTTATATATATATAAGGAATGGGCTGAAAATTGCATACATGAAAGTTGCATGACATAGTGGACTTTACAAACTGGATTGGGACAGGAACAAGGAGGGAACACGGAAGAAGAAAATGTAAAACCGACTTTATATCAAATTCTATGGAAGTGCATGAGATTCTTTTGAAATTCAATTAATGATGATGGTCTGTAAAACTATATTTGGTTAAAGCAGAAGTTTATTAATCAAATTAACCTTTTAGCAACAAGATGGGAAATTATCAAATAAAGTTGTCTCATAAAATTGACTACCTTACAAAAATATAAGTTGGCTTGGAAAAATATAATCTATTTCCTCTTTGTTAATTTCCTGGACAACTATTCAATTATTTTTCCACTGTATGCTGGAAGAGGATTTTCTTTATAATACTTCTGTAGATACCAACATGTAAGTTTCATATTTTTGTCCTTTGTTGCAAAGTGGTCCATCACAGTCTGAAAAGAAAAGAAATTTTATCAGATCACTGGAATGAACACAAATAAAAAAGGCTGGGTATAATATGACATTGAAGTGGTTATGATATATATATTTTTTTCAATTATAATATTATTTAGCGTTTACTTCTGTGATTGAACAATTTTCGCCTTAGTTTCATCACATACAGAATATAAGGATGTTTTTATGAGGTGTGATGTGATATTGAAGAAAAAAAAAGAAGTAAATAACTTGATACCTTTGCAAGAACTTTTGCTATTCCCTGTCCTCGAAAAACTTCAGGAACTACAGTATGTTGTAGATCGACTGCTCCTGTGGCTGGATCTATAACATCATACTGAAGGAAAGCTTTATCTGTGGAATT